GTAATAACTTTCCTTTTTGGTGCAAATGTTAGTAATAACTTTAGTACAACCAAAAATGAGTTAGTGTTTTGTTGAGATTTTATTTTATTTTTTATTTTTTACTTTTGCTTCTTAGCAATTGGCACCTCTTAATTAAGTGCCCGGTATTGCAGAAATGGGTCCTGTTATTCCATAGCTGACTCTTCTTTGATGATGACTCTATTAACAATACTATATAATTATTTTTTGAGTAAAAATAAATTCTTTCATTAATTAATAATAATTCATAAAAGTTACAAGTCAATCCATACAAGGCGGTGCACTAGAGGCACTATAAAACCTAACTCTAAAAATGCAAAACATAATTGGTTAAGTAGATGATAAAAGAATAATTAATTAAAATGATATAGGGATATTCTAGCTAAATCGAATTCTTGATTTGGCATTGAAATTATAAGTTAGCATAATCTACCAATACCAAAAGATAATTATTGAAATAGTCTGTGGTTAAAAACATTCTAACGAGACACGGTATATACCCACCATGTCTTTTACTATGAACCTTTAGTGAAATAATGATAATGGATACTAAATAATGATAAAAGCCTTCACGAATTATTCCTAAAAAGATAAACTCTCACATAAACTAGTTTTAAGGGGAGATAAGAACCCTTGTAAAAGAGGAAAAAAAAATCCTAAAAAAATAAAATAAAAACTATGATAAAAGAACAGAAATACAAAGAATAAAATGGAGATAAAAGAAGAACAAGATTAGAACAAGAAGAAAGAGAGGAGCGACAACTAGGCTTCTACTCCCCTCTTTTTGCTTTGAGAGAGCGGCTCTATTTGTTTATATTTTCTACGATAATATATTATTTTGATAGAACATAAATAAAGAATGAAGGTGATATTTTTGCACCCTTTGTCAACTCCACATGCATAAAAATTGTTTTCTCCCAATTTGCGAGGTAAACTTCTCTCAACTTCCCCATATATTCATACCCGCCAACATATTTTACTCAATAAAACACAATCTTAGCTTTTTATCAAATATGAAAGGGTTTACCATTAACATTTTAGAAAAATTATCAAATACCACTTCCATATGGTAGTGTTTTGGGAAAACCTTCCTCAAACTAATTAAACTTTTAAATAGAGAATCAAGTCTAGTTTTTTGTTGATTATATATGTATAATCGACAAAAAGGTTATTGATTATAAAAATTGTCAATTATATTAGTGAAAATTGGATATACTCAACAACTTAGTATGATCAATAGAAAAGATGTCGATTATACACATATAATCAACAAAAAATTGATTATCAATTATAAGTTTCTCGATTATACTTTGTTTTTTAGTAGTGTATTCATGGCCCAAACATAATGCTTCTAAATGGGTGTATCAAATTGTAAGATTAATTTGAAACTTTAAAATTTGAGATTAGTGAAGAGAAATTTAAAAATATCATATGTACCAAACAAAATCAATGTTAAACATGTTTTTGGCTAACATCAAACATAAAAGAAAATAAACATTTCATTCCATTTCATTGTGGAATTTATTTTACAGTCAATTTCTTTTCAACGATTGTTTTTAAATATAGGTATTTTTAAATTGTATAAAATTATGTACTGTAATAATAAAATTCTTTATATAATTCTCAAATAATATGCATAGACTTTGAAAAAATTATTAAAAAATATTTAATAAACTTTTAAAAAATCTTCAATAAATATCTAATATACTTTAAAAAAATCACTAATAAATACCTAACAGATTTTTAAAAAATACCCATTAGAGAGTTGTTTAAATTTAATATAAGGGTGTGACATCCATAAATTAGAAAATTAATAAAAACTAAAAAATTAATTCAATCTATAACAGAACAAGGGTGTAGGACTCACAAATTAATTAGTGTAGATGTGATGACTATTCATGTAATTTTTAACGTGTACTTTTTATGAAAATTAATCCTTTTTTTCAAAATTAAAAGAATGATATTTGTATGCTTAAATCTTCTTCCATATTTATCATTTAATTTTTTTTATAAATTATTACATTTAAAATTAATAATTATTAAAAAAATAATTTAATATATATTTTTAATTAATTATTTAAAAAATTTATAATTAGTAAATACATAACGATATTTTAACAGAGACAAGTGCCCAACGTCCACCTTGAGTACTACTCCGAGTAGATATGTTTATCTTGACTAATATTTATTTATTTATTTTTTATTAATTTTTTGATATTCAATAATTATATTAAATTTTAATTAATTTAAAATTAAGTCATATTAAATTTATTAAGAAAGACTTTTCTTAATATTTATTTTTTTATTTATAAAATTTAAATTTAAAATTTTATTTTAAAAAAACATAATTTTTTTTATTTGAATTAATAGGTAGTTATAATGTTTCCTTTATTTACGAGACAATAATTCACCTTTTTGGGTAAATATGGCAAATCCTTAATTAAAAAAAGTGGATGTGGTCCATTAAAATTGCATTCCAAATTTCACAAAAGGAGCAGGAACCTCACGTACCCCACTGCCCATACACCAAACCGACATGTCATCCTAGTCTAACCCATCAATAATCATGAAAGACAATGACGTCATGATGCTGATAAACCCGTAGATTATAAACGTACATCATAACATGATATACATCGTGAGCATGATGCACATGCCTTAACAAAAAATATTTAATGTTTGAAACTTTGAATTAACCGTCTTAATATAATAAATAATAATAAATAAATATATGATATTAAATTCTTTATAATTATTATAATCTAAATGTTATTTTTTATTTAGTCAATAAATAACTTAAATAACTAGGTAAATGGTTTTGGTCCTATGAATCAAGTGACTTTAACTACTCTTATAAGGTTCATGTTCTATTTTCATAAGATAACGGTTCAAGTCGGTTCCATGATAAAATGTTAAAAAAAAACCACATAAGTGATAATATATTTTTAAAAATAAAAAGTATCTAATGTAAAAGAGGATAATCTTTAATGGTAATTTAAAATTAAAAGAAATTTTAATAACTTATTTAATTGGAGAAAAACAGAAAAAAATGTGAAGAAGTGGAGAATTAATTTTGGAGTCTTGATTTGTAATTGCAATGATTGGTTCTTCAATTTTTTTAACATTTAAAATTATATAAAATATATTATCCTAAAAAAAAATTATATAAAATATATTATCCTCAAAAAAAATTATATAAAATATATTTAATGTTTATATTAATTATATTTTATATTTTTTAAACTAATAAAAAATATAAAATTAAAATATCAAAAAATTATTATCAAACAAAACTTATTAATTAAATAAAATTATTAAATAAATAAAATAATTTAATTTATAATAATAACTTGTACACACCCAACCCTTGAAATTAAATGATTTTTGACTACTTTAAAATGCATTCCCTTTTCCTTTTTTCTTAAGCGAGCTCGACCCATGACACCTTATTCAAAGAAAAAAAAGAAACTTTTACTTTTTATTTATTTTTTTTTCGAACTAAACATAATTTATTATAATAATTTTTATTTTTCTCTCATTCTTTTCACTCGAATTAAAGATATGGGAAATGTATGCACAGAACATCCCTATCCTGGATACCAAACAGTGTCTAAAAAAGAATAGCATTTGACTTGATTTCACAGGAGAGAGAAACAAGAGAAACAGAGAAAAGGTAAAGGAGGAAGGGAAGAAAATTCAATCCGATCGAATACAACTTTGACGTCCGCAAGGACATTCAGAAGCTCCTTTCTTTCTGTCTAAAAAAATCCCATCTCTCTCTTTCTACGCCTTTCTCTCTCAAGTTACAGCGAAGAACAGGCCACGTACTCAGTGAAATGAAATAATAAAAACAACCCTTCCGGAAGAGCAGAAGATTGATTAAGGGCCAGGCTCTGAAACCCTAAAGGCAGCTTTTTTTTAAGTGATTCATGTTGTTCATTGCTTCGGTTTTATTGAACAAGAGGTGAAGAACTGAGGATACGGAGTGTTGGGTATCCCGTAGATTCTTGGATTGAATCTATCGTCAGATTGAAATCAGTACTGGAGACTTTGGAGGGCTCTCTCTGTTTCTCTTTATCAGTACTGTTGAATTGTAGCTCCGGTAAGTGTTTTCAAGTTTGACCCTTTTCTCTTCTTTAAGTAATTTTACTACCCATTTGTTTTTTTATCACTCATTTTAAGCTCTGGATCGTTGATTTGTGCTGTCTAGGGCTCGATCGTGACTAGCTTAGTTGTTATTGCTATAGCATTTTCACCTTGTGGTTGGTATATTAAGGGTTAACCTTTTTTCTGTTCAGTGAAGATGCAATTTAGTGCATCTTGGGGTTGAAATTTGAGTTTGGATTGGTGAAAAGAAAGTTAATTTTGGTGGGTCTTGTTTTTAAACTTCTGTTTAACGTGTGAATTTTCAAGATTTCATCTCCTTCAGCATTTGATTGGTTGGTTCATGATTGTTAGCATGGGGGATTTACCTGATAGGGGTGATATATAGATTTTGGACCAGGGTTCTGCTGTAAAAGGTTTTTTTTTTTTTTTTTCTTTTTTGGTTCTTCTTTGACAATAATTAAAGCTTCTCTTTCTTTGGAATGATTAAAGCTGTTATTGATGTATAATATTTTATATCATACAGGGATTCATGGGAAAGCGATTCCACCATTGCTTCTCTCCCGGAGATAGTGCAATTCTAGAATGTTCGGACTTGAAGCTTGTTCCTTGGCTTTGGTTTTCTTTGGTCTCTGGCTTGTGTGTTGTAGAACACAACGCTATATTCTCAGACAAAAAACTTACTCATTCATATTTGTGCACAATAAGGAGCATGAAGCCAATAGCATCGGATGCTGGGTTAAATTGCTGAGATCTTGGAGCTCTCTTCCTGGACTTCTGCTCATTGTTGTGTAACTGTAGTTTATTCCTTTGATTATGTTGTTTTAGATAGTTGTACTGCAGTAAGTCTGTGTAGATTATAATTCTGGAGATATGGTACCATCGGGGCCTTCCACTCCAATTGGTGGCACACAATCTGTTCCTCCTTCCCTTTTGCGGTCAAACTCAGGAATGTTAGGAGCCCAGGGTGGCAGTCTGCCTTCTCAAACTGCATTCCCTTCGCTCATGTCCCCTCGCACTCAGTTTAATAATATGAACATGGTTGGCAATGTGCCCAATATGTCTTCCCTGCTTGCTCAGTCTTTTGGAAATGGAGGTCCGAGTCCTCAGCTTTCTGGTCCTGGTAGTAGCCAGCGTGGAGGTATTGATACTGGTGCTGAGTCTGATCCACTTTCTGGTGTTGGCAATGGAATGGGGTTTAATGGTCCTTCCTCATCATTTCTTCCTTCAAACATGTCAAACCCTGTTTCAACTGGTCAAGTTCAGGGTCAGCAATTTTCAAACCTTTCTGGGAACCAGCTATTGCCAGATCAGCAGCAGTCCCAACAACTTGAGATGCAGAATTTTCAACAACAAGGTCAACAAGCTATGCAACAGTTTTCTGTGCATCACAACACCCAACAAGGGCAGCAGCAACAACAACAATTTCAATCTGTTCGGGGAGGGTTAGCTGGTGTTGGATCTATCAAGTTGGAGCCTCAAATGACTAATGAGCAGCTCGGACAGCAACAGCAGCAGTTGCAATCACTGAGGACTCTTGCTCCAGTCAAATTAGAACCCCAACAAATCCAGAATACAAGAAGTTTGGCACCTGTAAAAATGGAACCCCAACATTCAGATCAATCTTTGTTTCTACAGCAACAGCAACAGCAGCAGCAGCAGCAGCAGCAGCAACAGTTCCTCCACATGCCTCGGCAGCCATCACAGGCTGCTGCTGCTGCCCAAATAAATCACTTCCATCAACAAAGAGTCCTGCAGATGCAGCAGCAGCAGCAACAACAACAGCTTCAGCATCAACAACTCTTTAAAGTATTGCCTCAACAGAGACCACAGCAGTTTCAGCAACAGAATCTGCCGTTGAGAGCACCTATGAAACCAGTATATGAACCTGGGATGTGTGCTCGGCGGTTGACAAATTACATGTGTCAGCAACAGCATAGGCCTGATGTAAGCTTTACTTAGTGATGAAGACTTATGCTCCAGATATATTGTAGCTTTATGAGTGTTAACATGCCTATTTCTCTTATAGGACAACAATATTGAATTCTGGAGAAAATTTGTTGCTGAGTACTTTGCTCCCCGTGCAAAAAAAAAATGGTGTGTTTCTATGTATGGAAGTGGTCGCCAAACAACTGGTGTTTTTCCTCAGGTATGCTACACTGAAAAACTTAGAAATAAACTAATTGCATCTTCAGTAGTTGACTGATTCCTTTTATTAGAAGTTAGAACCTCATCATATTTTTTAATTTTCAGTGTTACATTCACACAATGAATGAGTCCATTTCAGTGTTGATGCTCATAAAATTTTACGAGTGTCATCTTATGAATAGTTAAAAACTTAAAACTTTTGCAATCAATCTTACTTGCAAATTCTGCAGGATGTATGGCACTGTGAGATATGTAATCGCAAACCTGGCCGTGGTTTTGGTATGTCTTGTGTCTTTACTGTTTCTTATTATTGTGAGTAAACTAGATTGCCAGCTTACACTAGCTTAAATTCTTGTTTTTGTTACTAACATTTTCATCACTCTTTTCAACTCTTTAATATCATATCTGCTTCTCATTTCTTTTTATCATGGTTTCAGAAGCAACTGTTGAGGTTCTCCCCAGGCTTTTCAAAATTAAATATGAAAGCGGTACTCTTGAAGAGCTTCTTTATCTTGATATGCCCCGTGAGTATCAGAATTCATCTGGTCAAATTGTCTTGGATTATGCAAAAGCAATACAGGAAAGTGTTTTTGAGCAACTTCGTGTTGTTCGAGATGGTCAGCTTCGAATAGTTTTCTCCCCAGATCTCAAGGTTGCTCGTTGTAACAATGGAATTTTATTTATATCAATTATTAGGATTTTGAGGCCTTATTAATGTAGTTTTCCCCTTACCATTGTTTTCATCAGATATGCTCTTGGGAGTTTTGTGCTCGGCGTCATGAAGAGCTCATTCCCAGAAGATTGTTGATACCTCAGGTTACTGATTGTCTAGTTTACATTGTTAACTAACTATAGTTGAACAATTCACTGCCTTCTCTCTCTGCTGGTCATTTGCATTTGTTGACTTATATGGCAGGTTTAGTGACATGTGAACTCTTTTTCTAGTTAGTCATTTCAATTTAGAAATGTATGGCTATTACAGCATTAATGGCTCTGCTGATAACATGCATTTCTTGTCATCATTAAAACTTGCATTGGGAAATTTAGTTTCTGTATAATAGTTGGTTGAGAATTGGGAGCTACCCATTGTTTTCCATGTGCTTTTCATGAGATTGTAATCTCAAAGGATGGAATGACTTGCACATCTTTTGACTTTCTCATGTTCAGTTCATTCTATTTTTGCCCTGTGCCATTCCTAATAACCATTAAAATTACATGATTCTCCTGTTAATCAGTTCTTATTTAAAATTAAATCCTTGGGGTTGTTAATTCCTCATGGATTTGTCATTTTCTATTGCTTTATTAATCTTCTTCAGGTTTTTTAAAGTTCATGATTGTCACATGCCTTTGGTTAGTTTAATGTCCTTGGTGAATGTCTATGGCATTTTTATATTAGAAGAGATGAGTTATTGTTGAGATTTCTGAGAAAAGACACCATGAAGATCTCTTTTCATTTTTCGTTTTTCATGTTATCACCACTGTGCCATTTGTTGAAGCTTTGTTCTTGGTGGACAATATCCATATTATAATTCCTGTATTGTCTACCAAAACTACAAAGAAGATTTCTGCTGAATCTTGCTTAATTGAAAACAATCCTAATAGCCTTGACTCACCATTGGTTTTGATCTTGTAATTGATTTCTTTAAAATGAACATGCGGACAAATTACATAGTCCTTTGCATGATTGAGACCCTAAAGGCCATACCTTCGGTTAGATGCTATTCTCCATGGGAAAAGGGGAGCATGATGGTTCTAACTTTTAACTTGGGGAACATTAGGGTGGTGAATTTCATCACTGCACCGTGTAGTGACTTAAATTAATTTTTCTGCTAAGTGAACAATTGTAATAGCTTTGAATTTTTTGCTTAAATTTTTTTTATTATTAGTTATATTTTATTGCTATATTTTGGTTGTATTGGAATGTTTTTCTTTTTTTTTTTTAAAAAAAAATCACTTGTACATATGTTTGTTTCATCACCCATGGTTTATTTGTTGGATTTAGATTATCCTTTTTGTTGGTTTATGTTCAGATATACTCTAACCTCATGTTATGCATTGGTTATTTTATTGTATATTTTTGTTGCATTTGCATTGATTGAAGCATATTTTTAATGTTGGATTCATTGCTGTAAAAGTGATAGTACCTAATCAAGAGTCTATAGTTTCTTTCTTATTGTTTGTGTTTTATTGGAACCACTGAGTATGGTTGCCACCAGACCAAGATTAGCAATATTTGACTATAATTTCTGGCATGCAGGTTAGTCAGCTTGGGGCTGCAGCTCAAAAATATCAGGCCGCGGCACAAAATGCATCTTCTAATTTATCTGCCCCCGAGTTACAAAATAATTGTAATTTGTATGTCCTGTACTAATCTTCCTTTACCTGATTCATTATTATCCCTCTCTGCATTTTTTTCAGTCAGAAATCCTTTCTCTAGTCTTCTTGCCCATGATCATTGCCATATCTGCTGCATTGGTTAGTCAGACTTTTTACTGATATTGCCTACTGTGTTCTTTTGAAAGCTCTATGTGGAAGAATTATTATTACTTTTTTATTTTTATTTTTATTTTTATTTTTAACATTTCCATTAGAAGTGTACATGTGTATGTGTAAGTTCTCAACATTAAAATTAGACTATCTAATTATAGTTTTGACAAAATTTAGAATTTTAAACTTATTGTAGTTCTATTTGAAGTGAGGTTGTCTTTTCCTTTTCATTTAGGGAAATCAAGTTTGCTATCCTTAATTAGATGGATCTTTAGATGGAGTGAGAGATTTGGAATAATTTTTAGAATTGCAACGAGATTGTAGTCTTGATGTGTATAGTCCCCTATTGTATATGAGAAATTTATGTTCCATCTTATGCAGTAATTGCTTGTTGAGGTTCCTTCGCTTTGTTTCACACATTTAAATTTGTGGCGTAATAGTCTAATAGGTGTTTTGACTTTTTTCCCCCAAAAAATTATTTAAATATATATATGGGATACTTGTAATGCTTTAATGGATTTCTAATTGTTTTATTGAACTGTAGGTTTGTTGCGTCAGCTCGGCAGTTGGCAAAAGCCTTGGAAGTGCCACTGGTAAATGATTTGGGTTATACAAAGAGATATGTACGGTGCCTTCAGGTGATGACCTGTACACTGGTCAATTATGAAGAAATATTTTTCTAACTTCTGGATATTTTTGCAAGATAATTTCCTCTCCAGCTGTTATTGTTAAATATGAATCTTCCATGTGTTGCTCACTATATCCCAATATCATTTCTTAAGGGTTTTACTTCAGCTTATCATATGCATACTGAGTTTCCTTCTTGCACCTTACCAGATAGAAAGGTTTTTTTATCATGCTGAATGAATCCTTGCCTTCTATAATGCTTCTTCTCCACTCTCTACATATATTTTTATGCACTATCCATACCAATATTATTTAGTTCTTCTAATAGTATTCTGTAAATCTTAACTATCGCTTAGTTGACTTTAGTTTAAGTTCAGTAGTTCAAAGACCATGCTCTATTTTGTTCAAAAGAAACTCAGAAAGTGGTTAGATGCTTACTCAAGTTTTAAAACCTGTATCTCTTTTTTTTCAAGGCTGATTTATCTCTCATTCCCTTTTAAGCATTTGCTTAGAGCATTTCATTGTTTCCATAATCTTCCTCCTTTTTTCCTTTTTTTTTTTTTTTTTTTTTTTTTTGTTTTTTTTGGTTCTGTTTCCTAACTGTAATTTTGTTCTAAACGTTAGAGCTGGTTTTGGTGTTTTTACAGTAATGCAGAGCAATTATAATTTCAGTACAAAGAACTTGATTTCGCAACTGAGTCTTTATTTATTGTAGATTTCTTGAGTTCTCATTCCTATAATTATTTAAGAATGATATGTTTTAGTGATTTGTGTTTTGGTTTTTCATATATTCCAACTTCATTATTATGCTGCAGCTTTAGAAAATTTAAAACAATGTATGAGAACTAATAAATTCATTACACTCCGGTCACTTTTCTTGAGAGTGCTGAAATTTTATATACAGCTTGATGTTTCATACTTTATTTTTGTATTGTTCAGATCTCCGAGGTGGTTAATAGCATGAAAGACTTGATTGATTACAGTAGAGAAACTGGGACTGGACCAATGGGTAAGTTCTGATGAAATTTGGCTAATGGCAATTGTATGAATGCACTGTATATGGCTAATGGCAAGTGTATAAAGAATACAGAAAGTGTAATTAGTGATTGATTTTGGTATCAAATATTTAGGTTAGGACTGAGAATGTGAGAATTTATAAGCAGCTATTTAGGTATTAAACAAGGATAATATACATGCTAGGGGTGCTCTTGTTATATTGTTTAGCACTTGGCATAGCTTTGACTGATCTCAAACTTTCAAGGAATGTCCAAGTTTACGTCAACACGGGCAACTTTTTCAAGGTTCTAGAATTGCCTTCTGTTTTCTCTATGGTTCTTTCTTTCCTTTTCTTTCTTTTTCATTGTTTTTTTTTGGGGAGGGAGGGAGGGGGGGTATGTTGAATGAAATATTTTGATAAATGAAATGATAAAATTATTCACTTGACTGGGTTCAAATTGTAGCATCTTATTATTTCATTGCTTTCAATTTTTGTTAGAGAGTTTGGCCAAGTTCCCTCGAAGAACAGGTACTTCATCAGGGTTTAACACTCACTCTCAGCAGTCTGAAGAGCATCCATCACAGCAAAATCAACAGCCCCAGCAGCAGCAGACACAGCAACAGCAAACGCTGGTTCAGAGTTGCAACAGTGATCAGGGATCAGTCCAAGTTTCTGCAATGCAGCTTGCTGCTAACAATGGAGTGGGTGGTGTAAATAATTCTCTTAATGCAGGATCTGCATCAACTTCTACCAGCACAATAGTTGGGTTGCTGCATCAAAATTCAATGAACTCTAGGCAGCAGAGTTCCATGAATAATGCAAGTAGTCCCTACGGAGGTAACTCTGTTCAGATGCCATCTCCTGGTTCATCAAGTTCACTTCCCCAAGCACAACCTAATCCTCAATATCAGTCACCAACACCCACCTCATCTAACAATCCCCCTCAAGCTCCTCATGGTGCCTTAGCATCTACTAATCACATAAGTTCTGCAAATTCTCCTGCAAATATTTCTGTTCAGCAGCCAGCACTTTCTAGTGAGGCTGATCCAAGCGAGGCACAAAGCTCTGTCCAGAAGATACTACAGGAAATGATGATGTCTGGCCAGCTTAATGGTTCAGGTGGAATGGTTAGTGTTGGCTCTCTAGGGAATGATGTGAAAAATGTTAATGGGATGTTGTCTTCTAGTAACAACGGAATTCTCAATGGTGGCAATGGTCTGGTTGGAAATGGGGTAGTCAACAATAATTCAGGCATTGGGGTTTCTGGATTTGGAACATTGACTGGTGGGCTTGGCCAGTCTGCTTTGGTCAGTGGACTTAGAGCTGCAATGGGTAACAACTCCATGATGAATGGGAGGGCGGGCATGACAGCCATGGCTCGAGATCAAGGCATGAATCACCAACAGCAGGATTTGGGGAACCAGCTTCTAAGTGGTGGCTTAGGAGCAGTTAATGGTTTTAATAATCTTCAGTTTGATTGGAAACCGTGCCCCTGAATGAAAGCTTCTGTCGATAACCGTGATGTCATGTGGTGGTTTAGTTTGACCGAGAACCGTCCACCATAAGGTTCAGGCATGTAACATCCATACCATGTTTCTTGATTGAAGGGTGCTTGTGCAGCACTAGAATTGTGGGTGAACTACCAATGGCCCTGCTCGGATTGTGGTTCAAGATATATGATAGATTTAGGGCTTCCCTCCCACTTTGTACTAATTTGAGATTGAGATAAGTTAAACATAAAGCATAGTGTTTTATCAATGAAATGTTAAATCTTCTTTATGCTGCTCCATTCTCTAAATATTTGTCACCCAGGTTTATGATTCCGTTCTGATAGCGGATCCCTAGCATGCTGGTATCCATGCATACCTTGAATGTATTTAGTTCCAGATTTCAATTCGTGGTAATATGAACAACAAAGTACAGACTACAGAGTACAGAACCAGATACAATTCAACTGTCTACATATTTGTCTATAGTAGCAGACAAGGTAGACTTTGGCACCGCACCAATCACGCTCTCTTTCTTTTCTCCATTCTTGAAAAACAGCACGGTTGGGATGCTTCTGATCCCATACCGTGTTGCGATACTCGCGCAGTCATCAGTGTTGAGCTTGTAACAGGCAATCTTTCCAGAATATTCCTTTGCCAATTCATCTATGACTGGAGCAATCATGCGACACGGCCCACACCATGGTGCCCAGAACTCCACCAGAACTGGGTTTTTACCTCCTATCACAAGGTTTTCCCAGCTTGAATCTGTCACCACTTGAACTGTAGAATAATCAAAAGGGAAAGTAGTTATTATAGCTTACTAAACTCTTTCTTAGCATTTGCTAGGAAGTCCCCTAGGAGACAAATAACATTGAGTAGTATTATTAACAATGAAGGGGGAAATGGAAAACCTACCTTCATCTAAAGCTTTGCGAGCTTTGCAGATAATCCGGGATTTTTGACATCTATCTTTGAGAGAATGAGCAAAAGATGAATATAATGAAGTATTGAATGACTTGGATTTGTTCAATCCTCTGGAAGCCGGGCAATGAATCTTCTCATGAGAGGAAAAGTGATGGTAACTTTGCAGGACACTAGCTCTAGTACTGCAGACTGAACTAAGTTGCAAACAGGTTTCCAGAGCCATTTCTGTAGCTTGACTGTATTTCTTGTTTACTCTTTGCAGAGAATATATTTGTAAGGATTATGTGAAGAAGATGTGGCCTTGGTCTGTTCCAAGGAAACATGGCTGCAAAAGTCTTTTTTTTTTCTTTTTCTTTTTTTTCACTAAAATTTTCTCCAATATAAAAAATAATGAAAAGGAAAATTTTGTACTCTAGCTTTGTAGTATTAATAATGTAAAAAAATAATGGATATTATGTGAAATATTGTGCGGTGTTTGAAGTGTACAAATTCATGTGGATGACATCTTGAAATGTTGTGAGCGTAATTCCCACAGAAAAAAGAATAAAGTGCAAAGGTCCTGAAGTTTTCTAGCCAGTTTCTCGTTGACCATAAACTTCTCATCCATTAGACAGTTTTTGATTTTAAGGTTTTATGTTCTCAGAAAATCATTCACTCACAATATTTATTTTACAATAAAATCTTAAGACCCTATGCACTAATAATTATGGATAAATTCTCCCAGACTCCCACTAGAAGGATGCAGACTTCATATACAATAACATCTTTTAATTTGAAATTTTTTTGTATTTACTATAAAATTGTCTTAAGTTAGTTTTTATATATTTCAAAATTAATCTATCTTTGAGTATTTTTAAGGGTGCACTTTTTATATTAATTTAGTGTATTTAAAAAAATTAATTTGATATATTTATTTCAAAATAACTATCATTTTTTAAATCAATTTGGCCTCAATTTGTGTCTACATTCATCTAAAAATGACAATTATTTTAAGATTTCATTATAAAAAATAAAAAGAGGGATCCATTCAAAGACTAGATTGAGGTTTGAACCCTTCACCTGGAACTAAGCTAATTCATTTAAATCCCAATTCACTTCTTTTGGCTCCTGTTTCTCTCCCTCCCATCCCTTCTTTTCACCTTTGGCTGGGAAAGTTGGGTCTGAGTCTCTACTTCCTGTCAGAAAATGAAGACAAAGGGACGAAATGGGACTCAATTGAAGAAACATGAAGAATAGAGATTCGATTACCCAAAGGCTTAAAAGCTGAGTCCAAGTCATCAGACCCATTTAAGTTTCAACTTCATCAACACAACACAAAAATGGTCCAAATCATCAAAACCAAATGGACTGTTTCTGTCAGGTCCATACCCGTTTCCTACGACCCAACCTGTTTACATATAGGTCAAATACCCGGTTTGGTCCCTCAAGTTTCATTTTTTAACCAAATCTACCCTCTAACTTCAAAACATACTAAAACTATTCCTAAACTTCAATTTTTGGGATCAATTTGATCCTTCCATCGACGACGGAAGTGCCAAATGGCACACTAAGTTGCTACGAAATCAATACTTGTTTTAAATTTTTAATAATGTGGAAAATAATTTACTTGTGGCATTTTTGTTGTTTATGTCATTTTAATTAATTTATATATTAAAAAATTTTAAATTCCTTAAATACCCCCATCTTCTTCTTCTAGCCCATCTTTTTCTCCCTTCTTGTCTCTCTCTATCCTCAAATGCCTCTTCATCTTGCAACCCACTCAGCACCAATCATCCCTCATTACTCTGATCATCCCTTACCACTCCGATCACCATCTCCATACATCACTCCAATCACATCTCTAGCTTGATATATATGCTTAACCCAGAAACCTAGAAACCAAAAAGAAATCTAATTTCCATCTAAGCCAACTTCTTACCTCTCTCTCCACTTGCTACCTTTTCATTTCTCCTCCTCTTCAATTTTGAATCTCCAAAAGGAGAATGGAACCCAAATCACCAAACCTCTCCTTCTTCCCCAAACCTCATCTCTAATGGAACCCAAATCTAGTTCCTTGCACAATAATAATGGCCAATAGATTTGATTCAAAAAATCAATTACACTACAAACTTATACTAAATTTGTAAAGATTCAAAAAATCAAGGTTAAAACCCCATTTTGGTCCTTGAACTATTGTACGGACCCTCGATTTGGTCCCTAAACTAAAAAAAATCCTTGATTTAGTCCATACTGTTTACCATTTGTACCCTAATTTGGTCCTTCTGTTAAAAATCTTGTGACGTGACCTGTTACTTCACCAGTTAAAAGATGACATGTCAAATATTAATATACATGGAAGGTAATATGATAAAAAAGTGATGATGTGGAAAAAATAATAATATAAAAAAAATTATCGAAAATAAAACTTAAAATTTTTTTTTTTCTTTTTCCTTCCCTTTCCCTTTCTCTTTCTCTTTCTCTTTCTCCTTCCTCTTTCCCTTCTCTTTCCCCTTGGAACCCAACAGGCTTAGGTTCCTTCGAACCCACCCAGGCGCTGGGTTCCTTGTGAACCCAATGTGGGTTCACAAGGAACCGAACCCAGATGCAAAAAATTAAAAAAAAAAAATATATGCTTTTGTTTTTTGGATTTTGTTGTTTGATTGTGATGAAAAATTGATTGATGAAGATGAAGAAGGCAAGGCAAGGCAGCTGCTAGGTTTTTGCAGGTGTTGGGTTCGAAATCGAACCCAATAGGTGGTGGGTTTCATTTCAAACCCAACAGCTGCTGGGTCAGTGGAACCCAGCGGCTGCTACCCACTGGTTGCTAGGTTTGAGCAGCCGCTGGGTTCCTGCAAGTGAGGCTCTGGGTTCCGTTTTGAGCCCAGCAGTTGTTGGGTCAAGGATCCATTGAGTTTAATCTGTTGATTTGTTGTGTTCTCCTCGAATTTAATATTAGGAGTCAGGGGGTGTAGAAGGTGAAACGAAAGGGAGAGGAAGAAGAAAGGGAAAAAGGAAAAACAAATGAAGAAAAAAAAAAGGAAAAAGAAATTTTTTAAGGTTTTTTTTTTTTTCCATCTCATTTTTTTGCCACGCTGCATATCCTAGGTGTCAAAATGCTTGCTGCATATCCTAGGTGTCAAAATGCTTTTACATGTCATCTTTTTCCTGTCAAGTAATGGGACATGTAGGTTGATATTTAACGAAAGGACCAAATCGGGGTAAAAATGGTAAACAGTAGGGACTAAATCAGGGATTTTTTTAGTTTAGGGACCAAATTGGGGGTCCGTACGATAGTTTAGTGACCAAAATGGGGTTTTAACCAAAAATAATCATACTGCAAACTTATACCAAATTTGTAAAAGAAAAGGAAAATGCAAAAACCACAACATCCCTTCAATCAGCACCAATAGTAGCTAGATCTTGAAATTCAAGCAAGCAGAAGCCACACAAAACTCTAAATCCCATACCAAGATAGCCAAGCATGACTACAGCCAACAAAGAAATAGAACAAAAAAAGAAGAAGAAGAAGAAAATGAGAACCAATGAGAAAAAGTCATGGGATTTCTTTCAAAAATACCGAGAAAAGGAGGGAAAATACTTGTAGATCTAAATCCTCACTCAACCTTTTGTGTTTTTACAACAAAATCTAGCACAAGCGAA